GGTGTTTCTTTTTAAAGAAAAAAGATGAAAAAAAAAAATCATAATCCCAAATTATTTACCAAGAAACGGCAATTTCGTATACCTATTTTCATATCAAACAATTATGTAAAAATTTACCTAATATTGTGAGAGTAGCATTTGCAACGATTAAGCCAGCAAGATTTTGCGCGGTACACGAGTAAACGCCGCTATCAGCAGTTTTCACATCGACAATGAATAATACATCGTCAGTCGGCATCATATGCATTCTTCTCTCTCTTGCCGCTGGAAAATCATTACCACCATCCTTTTGCCATGCTATTTGCGGTGATGGTTGCCCTTCTGCTGAACATTCGAGGCGAGCAGTGCTTCCAGCAATTACACGTATATCATGTGGAATTTTTGAAAAAGATGGATATACTATAATAAAAATTTTCATTATTATTTGTGATATATTTCTACAGATGAGATATTATATGTTAATAATTCAAGATTGAATTAATATAACTCACTTAAAATGCTTAATTTTGCCTTTGTAGAATATGTTGTTCCGTATGTATTGGTTACCATACACTGATATTTTCCAGCATTTGCATGAGTAACGTTAGTGAGATGTAAAATAGAAGTTGCCTCTGTTACTCCATTCTCCGTAGAATCAGTGTTTATTTGTAAATTCTCATCATTAATTTCAATATTATCGTGTTTCCAAGTAAAATGTAGTCTTGCTATAGCGGTACTAGTTGCTCGACAAACCAATGTCACATTGTCTCCTTTAATACCCATCTGACTTTTAGGTTCCTCGATGATTCTTGGCTTTGGATATTCATCTGAATCCCATATATTTGCAACATTTTTGTATCAATAATGAATTTATATGAAATAAAATTATGTTAAAAGTATAATTTTAGATCGTTAAACTAACCGCATGTAAAATTTTTATGATGAAGTTGAGTTAATGACATTCCTTGTAACCAATGTGGAAACCCGCAATAAACTTCTGCATCGGTATAACTATGCTCACGTAACCACATACTTAACCATTGTAAGCCACAATCACAAACTAAAACACCTTTACACAACAAAGATAAAAATAGATAAAAATGAATGCAAATATTAAATCACAAAACATTATAAACATATTTATATACTTATACATACTCGAATTCATTCTCAATTTAGTCAATTTAGTCATTGAAACGAATGCATTTTCCTGAATACTTGTTATATTATTTCCACTTAAATCCAATTCGGTTACATTACTTAATCCGGTAAACGCATTTTTGTTTATCGATTTTATTCTATTGTGCGCTAATCCTAGTTTCCATAATTGTCCAAGTGGATCAAAGGCACCATTAATATCTTCCACCATGTACGAAATTTTATTAAATTTCAATTCCCTTTGACAATATAATATGATTATTATAAGGAATTTGTTGGATTTTTATAAATCTTCATGTCGTTACTGTATGATATATTATACGTACAATATCTGTAGATTAGGAGTTGAACTAAATGCGCCATCTGCAATGTATGTAATCTGATTGTGATCCAGTTTAAGTTTTTTCAATTTTTCCAAAAATTCAAAAGTATCTCGTTCAATTGTAGATATTTCATTGTATGATAAATCTCTGCAAATATATCTTTCATTACAATCGAATAAATTGATAAAATGATAAATTTTGTTAATTTTCTATTACAGTGTATTACAGAATTAAAATATTACTAACAATTCGATGATTTCTTTACACCTATCCCATGCTTGTATTTCAATGGTGCGTATTCGATTGTGTGATAACGTTAATTTTTGTAAATGTTCTAATCCAAACAAACCACCTTTTCTCACCATAGTTAATAAGTTAAAATCAAGTTCTAGAATCGTTAAATTTTCGAGAGGCCAAAACGCACCATCATCTAATGTTTCAATTTTATTTTTTTTTAAATGTAATTCTTTTAGATTTTTTAAACCTCTAAGGCTAAGTCCTTGGATTGTCTGCAATTCATTTCTATTTATTTCCCTAGAAAAAAAAACATTGTATATTAATCATATAATCAATATATATAAATAATGATATAAACAATAATGATGAAAAAAATCATATGATAATTTCTCACAATATACGCAATTTTTTCAAGTTTGTAAAAAGATCTTTCAATTGCGTCAAATGATTTTTATTCAATCGTAATTCTTCCAATGAAGTTAAATTATCTAAACTTCCATTTTCAATGACTTTTATTTGATTTTTATTTAAATTTCTGTAAGAAAATAAAAAAAATTTTAAATAGGTTTACAAATTATATTACAAGTTTTATACATTCAAGAATAATGAAGTCGTTCCATACAAATGTGTAAGGCAATTAGGTGCCAGAAAGGATCCGTTTCGAATAACACTTATTTTATTTCCACTAAGATCCAAATTTTGAAGTCGTTGCAAGTTAAGTAATGCAGTTCCATTTATATCGGTAATTGAATTGTGAGCTCTATAAAAACAGAATATTATTTATTTTTATATTGTTATATTATTTTTTTCTTATAATCTCTACTATCCTCACAATATTTAATAATAATAATAATAATAATAATAATAATATAAGCAATATACTTACAATGCAAGATGTGTTATGTTTTTAACAAAAAACATGTCTGGCACTTGTGTTAATTGGTTTTTATTTACTTTAAGCATTTGTAAATGCGTACCTTCTGATAGAATAATTTTAAAGTCATCTCCAAATTTGTTTCCACTGAGATCTCTTGAATAATTAGTAATAATATCAAAATATTAATTAAAATAATTCTTTTTAAAGATACATCATCACTTGAACTATAATATTTTTTTATTTTTAAAAATATTACTCACAATTCTTTCAATTTAGTTAAATGTAATAAGACATCGGGCTCCAAACTAGCTATATTGTTCCCCTTTAATCCTCTGCAAAAAAAACAAAATTTTTTATGTTTTTTATTTATTGTTTATCTACTTATCTACTTATCTAACATAATCAATATATTTTATATTTAATTTAATATATATACATGGATATAATAATTATCATTCATGAATATATATATTATATATATAATATATTTGTATAATATTTAAAATTTAACTATAAATGATACAAATATAAAGAAAAATATTTTTCATTTCAATTTTGTTCTCTTTAATTCCATCAAGTATTAAGTATTAAATCTTTAAAAGTATATTTGAAAAAGAAAATTTGTTTTTCAATATTCAATCTTATTTGTTAATGTTTAAAATAAAACTACATAATATTTTATTTGTATATAATAAATAAAGAGTAATAATTACAAATTAATTGATAAATATTAAAATATTATAATAATAATAAATTATGATTTAATTATATATTAATTATTTATTTTGATTATATTAATGTTGTATTTATCCATAGTGGACTCAATAAATTACATAATCTTAGTAAAGAAAAGTTAGTTTTATAGAATATTTATAAATTAACAATAATAAATTTTCTAAATAAGAGTCTGCAAGATTAAAATAATAATATATAGTATTTATATTGATTTATTTAATGAAATCGAGATCATTATCATTTATGTTCACATTTCTATTATAAATTTACAATGTATTCTCTTATCTTGTCAGATCATGTTACACTGCATACATAGTTTTTAGTTTAAATTTTAAGTAATGAATATCTAATGTATTCTAATCTAATTTTGAACCAATTTAACAGGAAGTTAAAAAAGAATACAATTTTAATGATAATTCATTAAATAACAAAACTATCGATATTAAATATCACGATGTTCTGATGAATTTTCGAAAACAAGTCGAATTAAAACAAACCATGAAAGACAATACAATGGTGATGATAATACAATGATGATGTACATTTTTCTTGATAGGATAATATGCAATTATTTACTTACAAGATCTCTGTCCATGGTGGTAGTCCGCTGGGTGCTCCAATCAATTGTAAGTTAATGCAGTCCACCACATTTCCAAGACAGTCACACTCAACAGGACATTGATTATCCTTTGTGTTGCCATACGATATCTTGTTGGCTTTTATAAAATTTGATGAAGTTACAAATAATATTGATAATATAACAATCGCCCATTTGTATTTCCACACAAATCGATGATCGAAAAAAATTTGTTCTGTATTCGACATTGTATACACCGTCGTACTGTTTCGCTTAAAATTTATTTCGTAACTGTACACTGCGTACTAATAGTTTTCTCCATAGCGATTCGTGGAATAACGGCAACATTTCTTGTAAAAGCATCACCGTAATAATATAAAATTACCACGTTCTATCGATTAAAAACAAACTTGTCTCTTAAAAACGCTTCAACCCACACACCATGATGACGCCCACGGACCGATGCGAAACTCCCTCACTGATTGCGCGATACTATTCTTTCTCTCTTTCTCTCTCTTTTTTTCTTTCTTTCTGTCTTTCCCATGTATCTATTTCTTCACAATGATCCAACCTTCATATTACTAGAAATTTATTTCCTAGCTAGTAATATTTTCTAAGTATAGTAGCGAACCATATATGTTTAATAAAAAATAAGGATCAAGATTTACTTTTAAGTTTTCCACATAAGTTAATAAATTATTCATTGTATATAAAAAGTACTTGAAAACAATCAAAATAAATTGTCACTAGCTTATATATTTTTATTCGATGAATATATATTAATATTTCTAATGCTATCGTAAAATATGTAGAATTATTTACAAAACTGGTTTATACATGTACATATATTTAATTGCAAAATATGTATACTATGAAATGTATATTATGAAATATCTCAAGATTACTTTATTTTAATTAATATTCAGCACAAAAATATTCTATGATTATTTTTTTTCATTATAGTTTTATATAATATGAAAATTCTCGTAGAATGAATTTTAATTTACGATCAAAAGAGAATGAAATTTATTTAATAAATTATTTAAATTATTATATTAATTATATTATATTAAATTTAATAAATAAGGGTAGGTATTGTTGAAGAAATCATAAATTGTTACTAAATACTTATATTTGTATTATTATTATTAGATCACTATTTTTATATTTATATTTTGTCAATAAATCACTATTTCACAGCATCACTTTTTTTCCAAACAAATCAATAACATTACACACATGAAGCTCTCATAAAACATTAAAATATTTTCGTCCAAGTAGGAAATATATGTATGCATATGCGTACGTATATTCTTAAAAGAATATATATACATTTACATTCTTTATATGAAATCGATCGAATCGTTGAATTTTTATATATTATCAACTTTATGTATTGGAAAATTATAATAATTATTATAATTTTTTATTGTTATTAAATTTTATTTACGAGTTTTAAGTCCATGTGAAAATCTAAATTGAATAACTTACTCATCGTGCAATTTCTTTGTTCAAATTTCGATTATATCGAACTTGAATTGATCAACTTTAAACTATTACGCGAGCCCCGTTCTTTCATTTGTAGTTGAAATTGCATTTTGAATTTCAATGATAACATTCACAAAAATCTTAAGATGTATATTTTTATGAATATCTTTATAAAAATAAAGAATGATTTTTTTTTCTTCTTATTTGTAGATATCTATTGTGTTATGTATTCATTACTAACAGCAAAAAAAATAAATGGAAAAACATTAAAATAATACTTATTTAATTCCATTGAATAAGACTTTGATAATTGCACTGCTTATGATGAAAAATATTAACGCGATAATACATATGATGCTCGCTATAACCATAATTATACAAATATACAAATTTTTTCCGATGAATTGAAACTTTCAAATAATTTAAATGCATTGTAATGCATATATAAAAAGTATATATAAATGATAAATAATAATATGAATATATAATCATAAGCAGTTTTTGTGTAAAATAATTCGGATTATACGTAAGATTCGAATTTTAATATTTTTGTTTTCCACGTTTCTAAAGATGAAATCAAATATTTGAAAATATGAAACCTTTGCAACTATTAAGTTAAAAATGTACATAATGTGACATTTTGTGATGAATATTATTCATGATATTCACAATGCGTATAATTGTCTATAATTACTTGACCAAATCACCAAAGTCAAGTAGCTGCTATTCTTTATTCAACTTAAAGTGTTTTCAGCAAAATCTTACATCTCTTGGTTGCTCCAGTTACTTGAGCATAAAATAGGATATCTTTTGCAGCCATATGAAAGGAAAGCTACTTTAGATTTAGCAGAAAATTAATAACTATGGCGATTGCATTTTGATCGTAAATACACTTTACTTCTTTTTATGATCCATGTGCAGAATATTACCCTGTAAGAGGGAATGATGTCTATATAGAAGAAATTTCTAATTTCTTATAATACAGTATTATTATTAGCATGCGAACAGATATATTTGAATACAATGGCAAATTTAGCCATTAACAAGAAGAAAATATCCTTTTGCTACTTAGAAGCCATTATATGTGATAATAAAATTAATAATCTTTTCCAATTTCTCTGTTTCATCGCGATAATATAGTTTGATTACCGATTAGCTATTTCATTCTCCATCTCCTTGGTGTTAAGTGGTCGGATGATATGAACTAATCAATGCTGCATCTACAGGCTCCATGCACGATGGACAAGTCAAGGAACGCAGCAACCAATCATCGATACATACTGCATGATAAGTATGCATACAGGGTAAATAACGCACTTCCTCTCCCACCTGGAGCTCCATCATACATATCACGCATTCTCCTTTTTTAGTCCCATCATATTCTCTCATAGGCAAATGTTGAATAAGTCCTATGCGTTTTGCTATTCTAACTTGTTGTTCTTCTTCACTACCTGGTCCTAGATTAACACCAATGCCAATTTGTTGAAGATGAAGTTCCCTTGTAAAAACTGGTGCATAAGAAAAGGTTACAGCCTCCTGTGAAATCAAGTATAAGTTTAACCAAGTTCAAAAAGTTAATAAAATTTAGTAAAGTAACAAAATTTATTGTTAACTTCTTGAATAATAGAAATTTAACTGGATACTGTCAAATGTGACAAAACTCATGACAAAAATCAATTATTATGATTAATATGTATATATATACACACACACATATCTATACATATATATATATATATATATATCGTCATATCATTTTTAATAAAAAAAAATGTTCTCATCGTAAATATAAAAGTAAAACCAAAGAAAAAAGATGAAATATAAAATATAAATATAACAAGGACGAAAAAAATAAGAAATAAAATTACAATTGGTCAAATTAAAGAAAGAAAATTACATTGTTAGGTATCGGAGGTCCAAGGCCTTCTTGTAAAGAACCGCTAGTCAATGTAGGAGGATCAGGATTGTTACTCAGCAAAGTGGTATTGTCCTGTTGACCGCTTCCAGCGCGTTTCAAACAATTTCCCATTTTGAAAGAACGTCAGTTCTAGCTTTGCGTTTCTCGGACAACGTACTTTGGTTCTTTAATCCCAACGTCACGATTAAACGATCACGATAACTTTGACGTGGGATATTTCGAGATCTGTCCCCATCATAAATTGCTTGTTTTTCCGCCGATACACGTAACGAAGTCCGTTTCGATCTTCGAACGGATGACAGTTCGTGTTTCGGGTGAAAATTCGGTATACGAATCTTTACCATCAAAACATCTTCCGTCGTCACATACCCGCACCACAGCTGAGTGCCCGACGCATCCAACAAGACGTAATGAGAAAAAAAAACAGGCCAGTTAGTCACAGATTGTGAAAAAACACTTTTCACATCCCTCGCGCTACGTTCTTCAAACGTTTAGTACACACCACCGCTTTCATCTTACTGCGTAGAAGGTCCTTCATTTTGATTCGTTGTTAGAAGCATGTCGCATTTTCCAACATCCAATCAGCGAGAAGTGATTCCATACAATATAAAGAGTTTGCACAAGTATAATTATGTTCTTTCCAAAATACATTCGGCAACTAACCTATGATTGGTTTGTTAAAATTCGACATATCGTGAAATCAGTCGTGAAACATAGCATGCGTTGTTTCTTTTAATTTAAATTTCGAGATTCGAAGCGATTCAAAAAAATCTTGCCATTATTTTTATGTTAGTTTCTAGTTAGTAACTTTTTAAATATATTTTCTAGGATTTAAAATATGCTATTTATCATTAATCAAATGTGAATAATGATTTCAAGAAGATATTTTAACGATAGAATGATTGTATAATATGTATAATATGAATAGCAAAGTTTAATCTAAAGTCTTATTTATTCATTGGATTAATTTTGTAGGATTGTGAAAATTTCTTATAAATCGATGTCATTAATTATTTTTTAATTTAAAAATAGTACGCAATTTGTAAAAATTTAATATTTTATTTGAGAATTTATATTACATACAAAAAAGTTTATTTATGTAAATGATGCAGTTTTGACCTTTTTAACTTTTAAACTTTTAAACTTTATTTTATATATAATAGATCTTGAACAACTCGTAATTGATCAATTATTTGCGTTTATTTTGCAAAGAAAATGTATAAAAAATTATCACTAATAATTTTTATTATTTTTAAATCGTAATTCTAAGAAATATAATTCAGATATTCGATTTTCCTTCGATTGTTTTTAAAAATTTTGATTTTGGTAGATAATAATCACAATACGAATAATGATAATTCTAAAATAAAAGAAAACAAAAAGTTTATTACTTATTATGACTATTAAAATAGTGTTAAAAAATTTTCTCAACGAGAAAGTAAGATAATAGAAAAAAGTATAATTACGAGGAACAGTGATCATAATGTAAACAATATTTGTACAAAATACGATATAAGAATCTTAGATAGACGGAAAGGATCGTTTTCGTGGTTATCTTATCTAGTTATGACCCGTAACCTTTAACAAACACGAAAAAAAAGAAGACCTTTGGTACTGATCCTCTCCCCTCTGAAAAGAGTAGAAGCGTAGTTAGTTCGATGTCGTTGTCCATTCGGTCAGCGAAAACGATTGGGGCAGGAAGCACTTACTTAACCGATCTATCGTGTCGTTGTGCTTCCCACCAAACGAGTACCGCCGCGGCCTGTTTTGCACCCCAATTCCGTCCTTAGTTCGATCTTTCCGCTCGATCAGTGAATCCTTGATACAGTATCTATATATCTTCGATTCGGTATACCATTTCATCTTTCATCTTAATTGTTTCGAACTTTATTTCATTATTTTTTTTATTAAATTTTCGAAATCATTCGATATCTAAGGGCTAAAACTGAAGGGATCGCGAAGAGTGAGAGAGAAAAAAGAAAAAAAGAAGAGAGGAAAGGAAACATCGGATTGTATTTCGGTCAAAGGTGTTCTAGTGTTGAATCGCGCGTGATCTCATTCCAGTTTGAAAGTTACAACGAAAAAAAATTTTTCGTCCAAGGGGATGAAGGGGACTTATCGATGAACGAATAATCAGATATTCAACTCGGCTGCCATAACCAGCAATATGATTTGGAATCAGGGACCAGGATCGTGGGGCCAAGGGATCATTTTTTTTCTCCCGACGATCTGTTTCGTACTCGGTGCACAAGCTGGTAATATTAATTTTTTCAAGATCAAACGAAATCAAATTTATAAAATAATTTATCGTTTCGTTAATATCGGTCGATTTTTTATTTTTATTTTTATTTTTTATTTTTTTATTTTTTTATCATTCAGTTATCTATATGGCGCGTGTTATTCAACTTTTCTTTCCAAGAATTTATATCTTAGAACGTGTACGAATATATGCGTATCGGTCGTCTCGTTATCTCGCTAAAGTGCAACAAATATCTGTACCATATATACTATATATATATATATATTGGATTTCTAAGTAAGAATAAATATAATAAAACGAAGCTTTGTTCCACTGGATGACTCAAAATCTCATTCACAGAAATTGTCAAAGAATCAACATCGTGTGGCCGAACGAGATGCAAAGGTAAACAAATACGTATCTAAAGATCCTCCAAGATAGAATATCTCGGATAAGGAAAAGCTGATTGATCAAAAATATATATTTACAGCGACGGGTAGCGAAAAATTCAAATACGAAGAGAACGTGTCGTATTGGTATAGATATTCGGTGGATGTGAGCACGAATCTGGCCGCGAATTCAAACGCGTCGTCGTCAATTTTATCGCCGCCCGATTTTCCCGACAACGAGTCAACGTTACGACTGGACGCGGATTTGTTGATTCGTTTCAACGGGCCTTGCGAGGCTAGCCTCAGATTCGAGAACACGAGCCTGACCCACGATCGTCGAACATACAATTCAGAATTTCCTGATCGGGCCGGCGCGGATTTCAAGGCGAATCTGGAACGTTTCCCGTTGAGATTCACTTTCGACGACGGTCGAATAGACGAGTTATGCCCGAACAGGCGGGAGCCGATATGGGCGTTGAATCTGAAGAGGGGAGTGCTGTCGATGCTGCAGAACACTATGCACAGATTCGACGTGGATCACCGCGCCACCGATCTGGACGTGAACGGTGTCTGCGAGACGAATTACCGCTTCCACGGAGCGAAACGAACCAGCCTGATCGTGAAGAGAACGAAAGATTTGTCGAACTGCGTCCACGGTTCCAAATATTTCTCCGTGATCCGTTCCAACTCGTACAAAAGTCCACGTTCCGACTCTCGCGCGTCTCCTCGCCACCCGCTCCTCGCGTCTCGCGTCGACTGCGAGTTGACAATCGATCGTAAAATCTACGAAAAGATCACGTGCAAGGAGTTGCACCAATTGCTGCCGTTGTCGAGCGGCGACACGGGCGCGAGGACCGAGTCCACAGCCACGCTTCGATTGATCGAGGAATCGAGGGACGAGTATCACGGTTTCGATGACGGTTATGAAGCGGGCGACGAGTACGGGGCCACTGAGCGAGGGGAGGATGAGGAGGAAGAGGAGGGAGAGGAGGAGGAGGAGGAGAGACGAGAGAGATCGAATCGCGGGAAAAGAAGCAGCAACTTGCTATACGATTATTCGAAAACGCCGAGGACGATGCACGGCGAGTTGAGAAGTTCGAGGGATTTGTTGAAGGTTATGTGCAGGTTAGGAATAAATACGGACGAGTTGGAACAACGATTCTCCGAGGCGTTCACCGCGTTTGTTCAATCGGCGCGATTTCTCGATTATCCCTCGTTGTCGCAATTGTTCGCAAGAGCGGACGGTATTTGCAAAACCGGCAAGTGAGTAGCGGCCACTTTATCGATTTTTCGATCGATAATCATCGTCCCGCGACGATGCACAATTTTTCTTCCATTTTTCTTCATCTTCCTTTCCAGGAGACACATCGTGAACGCGTTGCCATTCGTCGGTAGCAACGCTGCGCTGAACGTGATGAGAGATTTGATGGTAAAACGATACGTGGATCAAACAACGATCGACATGTGGATAATTGCGTTCGCGTTCATCCCGCAACCGGATCGAAACACGATCAATATTTTATCGCCCCTACTCGAGCTTCGCCAACTTTCGGAAACTCAATTCATATTGAGCTATTCCGCGACGATATACGCTTTTTGCTCAAACCAGGGCGTGCAACGTTGCGTCAACGTCGAACAAGTGACGCGATTTCTTTCATATTTAGAGCAAAAAATCGAGAAGGGTTGCGCACCTCGAACGCATTCCTCTTCTACGAACAAGGAGGTACGTTTCAAGATAAATAAAGTTCGAGGAACGTTTCGATTGTTTTCGTTTCCTTTTTTTACTTTTGATTTTACAGACATTAGAGGCGTTGAAAGCGATCGGAAATATGGGTTTAGAGACGGAGAGATTGTCAAAATTATTGAAAGAATGTATAGACGACGTGGGAGGATTTCTGCCGATGGAGATCCGCGTAGCGAGTATCGATGCCCATCGTAGAATGCCATCTTGCGAGAGAACACGAGACCTTTATTTTCTGAATTACTATCGAAATTTTAGCATGGACACCGAATTACGCATTGCTTCTTACCTGCAAGTGATGCGTTGTCCCGATTATAACATCGTGAAAACGATCAAACACACTTTGAAGTTGGAGGAGATTAATCAAGGTACTTTTCTTTCCTAATTTTTTTTTTTATCGAAATCGATGTTGAAAAATCCACGTTACGATTATACGATTCTCGAAACTCTTTACCCACAGTTGGTACATTCGTTTGGAGCCATTTAACCAATATTTACAATTCCGCTTCGCCGACCAAAGTGGAAATTCAAAGTCTGTTGACGGATCGCGATCTCAACGACAAGTTCAACAATGACAGAAGAAAGTTTTCGCGGAATTACGACGGTTCCTTCTTTTCCGAGGAGTACAATTTCGGCGCCAATTACCAAGGAAATCTAATCTTCTCTCCTAAATCCTACATACCTAGATCACTTACGTTTAACCTGACTTTCGATCTGTTTGGCGAATCCGTAAACGTTGTCGAAGTGACGACCAGACTCGAAGGGCTTGAATATTACGCGGAGAAATTTTTCGGTCCCGATGGACCGTACAGCAACGAGAAAGTATCGAATTTCTTTCTTCAATTATTTCGAAGCTTCAGAGCAGCTCCCCCAGAACAGGAGGAGGATTATTGGAAACGCGTGAAACGGATACCGAACATTATCGACAATAATTTCAACGAGCCAAGAATCAGTCTTACTTACAAGGTGAGAGGGAGGGGGAAAAAAAACGTTTGACGATCGTCCGACGAAGCGTCATATCCGTCGATATAAACGATCATTTTTCGGTTTCGTGCAGGTGTTCGGGAATGATTTGAAATATTCGACGTTGAACGGCGATCGTGAAATTAGAGAAGCTTTGACACACTTGAATCCATGGGAGAAGTTTAAACAAATCA